TTGCTCCTGAGAAGTATCAGCAGGATTCGGTCTGTCATATAGAGAGGCGATGTAGCCCGTTGTTCAAGAGCACGAGCTTCAGGACTCGACTGTCTGGGTGGGAAACCTGGGCCACCTGCTCATCAGCTTTGTGATCTAGAGCAAGTTGTGCAACCTCACTGGGCCTCGGGTTCCTCGTCTGTAAAAGGGGGATGGCTCACTTAATACATCCTATCAAGTACTCAGAACAGTGCCCGCCCCACAACAAACGTTATTCATATAAACAGTAATGATTACTGCCACCAAAGTGGGGGAAAAGTCTTTTGAAATGCTCAGCTGCCTCCCTGCTCCTGTCTAGTCCTCATGAACAATATCCTGCATAGGAAATGTGCACCACCCCAGAGCTGCTGCTGACTGGGGTTGAGAACCACACAGTCTGAAGGCTGGTTCTGCCACTTACGAGTGGTGGGACCCCGGGCAAGCCTGTGGAGTGGGGACACTAGCACCCACCTCCGGCTGTCAGCGGGGTTCAGGCAAAGTGGCTCATGCGCATGCTCGGCGTGCCCTGGCCCTCATCAGTCAGTGTGAGCTACATGGGGACTGCTGTCATGCAGGATTTTCCTTAATGACTTCATCCTTCAAAGGCAGCATGAGGACTCTAAGTCACGAGAATGTGAAATTCTTCTGTTTGCGAGAGATCTGTTTTTCACAGTTTCTAATCACATCAGCCAAGATGTCCAATGGCAAGGGACTGGTGTTTATGTGGTCTGGAACAGTCAGTCTGATACGTGGGGAAAGGTCGTCTAGGATGTTCTCGGAGAGATCTGAGGGGGGTTGTGTAACAGGAAAAGAAGAATGGAAGGCTTCCTGTTAACACTCTCTGTAGTTTTTCCTCTGGTCAAGATCAGTCTCCAATGGCCGTAAAGAGGTGTCCGTGGTGACTCGATGGCCCACCATCTGCTCAAGAGCAGTGTGGCTTGCACAAGGGAAGGCTCTTATGACTATGAGGGGCATGGGTTTGAGACATGGTTTGCCAAGATCACCTTACAGACAGTCATTTCATGGCCCTCACCTTGGTCCCCGTGAGCCCCGATGCAGCGGGCACCTTCTAGGGGCCGAGCAGTTTTCTGGGCACAAACACCACTGGCTACCATGGAACGGACTCGGGGAGACCGGAGATTAGAGAATGATTGGAGGGTGAGGGCAGGGGACAAGGACCCTCCAAGCAGGTGACATCTTAGCTGAGACCCGAACGACAAGAAGAAGCTAAGTCAAGACCAGAGAAGGGCCGTCCAGACAGAGCTGGGGCAGACCTGTGATCGGCAGCCCTCAGACTGGTGCCTGGTGTTGGCGGATGCGCTGCATGTCCTGGGACCCAGAGCCCCCTTAATGTCACATCCAGTCCTCCCACACGGACGAGGCCGACATGGTTGGAAGTCTATGAAAAGTGAAGGGAAGGAGATTCAGAAGAGGCTTAAGATGGCTCTGCTTTCTTTTACCTTTTCCACTGAAAAATAGAAGGGAAGAAAGAGGGAGGGACAGTAATACTAAACATGATAACAAAATAAAAGAGGCTTAAGAAACCTATCCCCCAACTGCAATGTATGGAACCGATTTGGATCCTGAATCCAGTACAAAGAAAGAAGTCAGTTGGGGAAAATGAACTGCTATTAAGGAACGCTGGTGTCTTAGGTGTGATGATGGCATTGTGCTTATGTTCTTTTATGAGCTGAACCGTGTCCTCCCCAATTCATATGTTGAAGTCCTAGCCCCCGCTCCCTCAGAATATGAATGTATTTGGAGAAAGGGCCTTTAGAGAAATAATTAAGTTAAAACAGCGTCATTAGGATTGAGCCCTAATCCAACCTGACTGGTGTCTTTGTAAGGAGAGTAGGACACACACACACACACACACACACACACACACACACACACACACGGATGCACAAGACAAGAAGACAGTCACCTATAAGCCTGGGAGAAAAGCTCAGAAGAAACCAAGCCTGCCCACACCTTGAACTTGAACTCCCAGCCTCTGGAACTGTGAGAAGATAAATGTCTGTAGTTTGGGCCACCCAGATGGTGGTATTTTGTGAGGGCAGTCCTAGAGAACTAAAACAGTTTACAAAGAGTCTGCGTAGCTTAGCATCATACACTAAAATAGTCACAGATGGAAGGAAGGGCTCTCCGGGACAAGCTCCAAAATAATCTTCGAAAGGGAAGGAGAGGGCAGGAAGGGGATTGTGGATAAAATGAGATTGGCCATAAATTGAGTAACTGAATTGAGGCTGAATGGTGCGCACACAGAGGCTCATTTTACTATTCTCTCTACTTTTGTATATTTGGAACATTTCTCTAACGGAAAGTTTTTTTTAAAAACTGAAGAGGAAACGTATCTTCTAGGTCATCCGCCTTTCTGGAAAACTACTGGAGTACAACAAACTATAGGAATTTACTTCTAAAATTCCGACGAAACAAACTAACAACAAATGAAAGGAAAGAGTTAATTGACTTTGAAAACCTTGGGGGGCTGAGCTCTCCCTGGACGGGCTGACTTCGCCCTGTGGATTCTCCTTGTTGGGATTCAGCTCACCAGCCCTGACATACCACACTCTTAGGAGGAAGCTGTGCGTGCCGTCCTCTCCCGGAGCCCGCTCCCTTCGGTTTAGGAGCTCCAACCCGTGGGACCCTGAGGACCCAGTTCAAATGCCGGAAGAATCCTTCCTTCTGGAAGAATCCTTCCTTCCGCAACACCACCGCTTGCCTACAGAGACAGGCTGGTTTCTCTCTGCTGCAGCCTCACCCATCACCCTGTGGTGTGATGATTTACTGATGGAACGTATCTTATTTATCTGGGCCACAGAGAGCACAGCTAATCCCTTGCTTGCATGAACAATCTTCCAGTATTTGAAGAATAAACTGAACATTTAATGAATGGCTACTATATGTGAGGTGCTCAGCTACCTACTGAGTCCTTAGTAACCCACGTTTAATTGTACAGTTGTAACCCCCATTTGGGGCTGTTGAAGAATCTGGAACTGAGGTTAAGTCGGCGGCAGGGCAGGGGTGGGGACCGTCTCTGTGCCACACCGAGCCTACTCTTCTCTGCTCCTTCAGCCAATCCCCCGGCTTGTGTGTGAATGTCTCCCAATCTAGTGTCCCTCCCCCACGGTCCCTAGCACGGCACTCCCGGGGGCAGGGGACCTGGACCACACACACCCAGTGCTTCTACTAGCTCTGAGATGATCCTGGACCCTGGAGCAGCCAGATCCAGGCCCTTCTCTTAGCTCTCCTGCTTACTGGCCCTATATCTTGCCCCAATTACTTAACCTCTCTGTGCCTCTGTGTGCCTCTTCATCACAATTTCACTAAGTGTCCCGCTGGTTGCTGTGCAGATTAAAGGGATTACGTCTGTGTGAGACATCAGCACTGGGTCGGGCACACGTTAAGTGCCCTCGGTGGCATTTCTTGTTTTGTTTTTGGCAGATCGTGCAGTTAGATAGCACTCCCAAGTCTGTCTCTGTCTGGGGTCCTGAGTGAGGCCAAGCCATGCCTCCCTATCCTCAACTTGTGCAGACGGATTTTTATATCCAAGTGCAGGACCTTATAATCATTCCCCATTGTTTTCATTTTTGTAAGATTCTGCCTGTTTCTGCCTTTTGGATCCGATCCATCTCCCACATGCTCACTCTTCTCCTGTTCCTGAGTTATCTGTACATCTGGATCTTCCGGCCAGCAACCACACTGTTGAACAGAAGAGTCTGTAACATGGTGTCTTTAGTCATGCGAATGAGTGTGGAGAAGCAGTAGGGTGCAGGACAGCCTGCCTGGCACAGAGCAGGTGCCCCCGCTCACGCTCCCCTACCCGCACCCCACACATCACCAGTAGCAGCATAAACCGAACAACCTTGCTGGAGGACAATCTGACAATATGGACAAACAGGCATACAAAATGTCGACTCTGAAATTCTAGTCCTGGAAATTCAGCCCAAGGTAGTCATTAAAGAGAAAAACAAATTCTAGGCGAAAGATATTTATAGCATCATTATTTAAAATGCTGAAAAACTCTAAATAAGCTAAATGGACTACAAAGAGGAATGGTTAGATAAACAATAACAGAGTAATAACAGCAACGTGGCCCTTAAAAAGATTAAATGTAGTGACTGTGCACCTTTATGTTAGTGAATATAAGATTATTTAAATTAAGTCACCGTAGATATACACACTCTGACTGCATCTAAATAAAAACTATGTACACACAGATGAAGGAATGGGAAGATAAACAAATAGGAAATTATAGTTATGGTGAGATTGTAGATGCAATTTTCAGTTGTTTCCCATTAAAATACACAGTAATTTATTTGGTTATAAGCAACCCCAGTGTTTGCGCGTATTCAAACACATATTTTATGTGTTTATTATTTATGTGTGCATCTATAATATGAAGGGAGATTTAAATAAGAATCAAGAACGGGCAATCTGGAAGACAGAACCTTAGCCAATGCGGGACTTCAATTAAAGGCAAGAAGCATCTGTCTCAAGATGAGATCCAGTTCCTCTCTTCAAGGAACTTGGAATTCAATGAGTTGTTGATGTGCCAGACTCCCTTCCCACAGCCACACATGTGCCTCATCACAACCCTTGCCCGCCAGTCACGGGAGTCCTGAGGAATGGGCGTCAGGATGGCTCAGTGGTGCAGGGCATGGGCTATGGGGCTCCTGGCCCTGCTCTGACACCTATCTACCAGCAGGGGGCCTCAGGGGAGCCCTGCCCCTGTGATTTTCACTCTTGTCTCCAGGAGGCAGGATGAGCTGGGGGTAGCTCCGGGGCCCATCTGAAAGGCTGATGTGGAGTATGGCATCATAACTGCCCAGTACACCCCGGCTGCTGGTATAACCACGTGCCCCACTGCCTCTCCAGATGGGCATAAATTCTGAACTCAGGTAAAGCAGGACAGAAGTAACAGCACACTTGTGGTGAGAACAGTAAGGGGGATTCCACTTGGCCGTGCCGGTACTTACCGTAGGTGAACATGCGCGGTGAGGTCAGCTCAATGTTGGGCAAGGCACCCAGGTGGTTGAGCACGGCGCACCGGTAGCCATTTTTCTGGGCGTAGTCGACGAAGGTGCGGATGTACTGCTTCTCGCTGTGATTGGCAATTCCAGGGCAGATGACCATGGTAACGTCATCTACAGGGTGAAGAAAGAGATCCCAACATAGCTGATGAGTAGTGATGATAAATGGCCACGATGACACGTCACTGGCTTAGAAAACAGTAGGAGGGAACCTGACATACATCTTTTTACTCAAGTCTCTGGGAAGAAGCATCTTTCCCTTCTAGCTGGAGTTGTCCTGATCAGTGCCTCTCAAACTATTTATGGTGAAGGGTCAGTTGTTAAAATTTCCGATCATGGACAGATAATTTTGAAAAATGTGATAAAAATTAATTACTAGAAAGATGAAATGAAAACAATTTAAATCTCAATTTTTTATTACTAGATTCAGCAGATACAAAATTACTCGGCCACACTGCTGTACAAGTTTCCAAACCTTACTTTTAATTTCTGTATGAATGACAGGATGCATGAGCAGAAAAATAAAAACTAGTGTTTGCACAGACTTCTTTGATCAAGCAATTCTACTTCCAGGTATTTGTCTACAGATACACCTGTACATAAGCAGAACAAGATATGTATAGTAGAGGTGATAATGGCAAAAGAATGAACACAAGCTAAATGCCCAGAAACAGAGGTCTGGCTAAATAAATTATTGCACAGACAAGTGATGAAATGTTATGCAGCCCTTAAAAATAATGAGAGACATCTTTACATGTACTGATAGGGTGAGCTCTCCAACATGTATTAAGTGGAAAAAAAGCAAGGTGCAGAAAAGGGTTATGATATGCTGCCATTTGCACGGAGGGAAAAAAGACATCTATGTTTAGAAACGCATCCACTAGCTCTGGAAACATACACGAGAAACCTAACAGTGGGTACCACTGGGGAGGAGCATGGGTGGGGAGTAGGAGTGGAAGAGAGACTTATACTTTCTCTGTATTATCGTTTTTTAAAAAAGATTTTATTTTATTTATTTGAGAGAGAGAGACACAGCGAGAGAGGGAACACAAGCAGGGGGAGTGGGAGAGGGAGAAGCAGGCTTTCTGCCGGAGCAGGGGAGCCCAGTGTGGGACTCGATCCCAGGACCCTGGGACCATGACCTGAGCTGAAGGCAGATGCTTAACGACTGAGCCACCCAGGTGCCCCTTCTCTGTATTATCTTAAAGGTACCTTTTGAATTTTTTATCATGACCATGAATTACCTACTGAGGGAGTGGCAGGTACTCTGAAGGACTAACACAGGAAGGTGTGATGGATTTATTGGGAAAGGAGCACTAGCGAGGGGAGGCAGGGGCCATCCCTCTGAGGAGGTGACATCTGAGTTGAGACCCGAATGACAAGGAGGAGGCAGCCATGCAGGGGTGTGGGGATGAGTGTTCCAGACAAAGGGAACATCAACTAAACCTTTGTCACCAGCTTGTCAGCAGTGCTGGTTACTGTAAAGAACTGGAAGGTACAACAGGTTTACTGGAATTTCCTCCCAAGTAGTTACCGAGCTCCTATAAAAACCAAGGTGCCTTGGGGTGCCTGGGTGGCTCATTTGGTTGGGCGTCTGGCTCTTGATTCTGGCTCCAGTCATGATCTCAGGGTCGTGAGATCGAGCCCCTCATCGGGCTCCACGCTCAGCGGGGAGTCTGCTCAGGATTCTCTCTCTTCCTCTGCCCCTCCCCCACCCCTTGTGCATGCATGCTCTCTCTGAATAGATAAAATCTTTACCAAAAAAAGCACCCCCCCCCCAACCTAGGTGCCTTGCATACTACAGAACGGAGCAGACACGTCCTCCTCTGCTAGGAGTGGCAGTCAGAGGCAGGCGCCATCCTAAGTCCACTCGCTCGTGAGTCCTCACTGCGAAGCTCTTTATCACGGCTGCTCACTATATAGGCTGGACAGAGCAAGGCCGAGTTCCAGCAGTGGCAGCGATCACAGCGGTTTCTGACAGACAGGTATCCCAGAGCCCTGCATAAATGGACCCAAATGTGTCTTTTTGTCCACGGCAACCTACGCAGAGGGTGCCTGAGAGCCTCCGCTATCCGCTTTTACCCAACAGACAAGACCACCCTCTCCCGTATCTCTGAGCTTTAGTTTCTTCATCGGTAGAGTCGGGACAATGAGGTCCCGACCTCTCAGGGTTGCTGGAAGGCTTAACTGAGGTAACAGTATCTATAAGGTTCTTAGACGAGTCTGGCTTCTATTGCTGTCATCAAACCAGAGGCCTGGTCCCGAGGGGCCTGGGCTCCACGTTCTCCCTCGTCCCCTCACACCGAGCTTCTGTATTTCTGAGAGGACTAACAGTTGCGTCCAGCATTGCTGTCTGAGGGGCCCAACGTGGTGACTGGCAAGCACGTGACAGCGCGAATCCTTGCGGGCTGCCCCTGAGACAGGCACCGCGGCGGGCTTCCTCCCAGGCCCTGGGTGTGATGCAGAGTCGGTGGCACGCACGCGTACACCATGTCCCCTCACTGCCCAGCGTCCCCCTTCCAGGTGGTGGCCCCATCATATTCCTGCGCTAGCTCACCTCCGACACAGTGCTCAGCCAAGGGCTCAAAGAGGTCGAAGGTCGAAGTGGCTCCATCGGACATGGTGATGAACTTGCGGTGCCCGTAGGGGTGTGGCGACCTCACCCTTCCCATCTTCCCATACAAGGCGGTTTGGATGTGTCCACTTTTCCCCCAGATCAATGGTGGAATGTATCTAAGAAAGCAAGAGAGGAGAGCTCAATTTCCACCACCCTCCTTGAACAATACATGGAAACATTTTCGAGCAAACGTCTTTCAACCTCTTTGAGTTCTTTTCCTGACAAGTTCTGTATGCGAAGCTTAGATATGGGATTTTCTTTACCTTACATCCATGGCCTCCTTTCCCCATTTACTAATACAGCCTGTATCAGATTAGCTATAGAAATCACCGGAACATGCTTATACAGACAGGATTTCAAATTTAGTGTTAAGTAATTCAATATGAGTTATTTCTGTAATGTAGATGAAAATGAAAGCAACTAATACATTTTGAACACATGCTACGTGACAGAGTTAGCCTCCTTATCAAATGAGCTAATGTATATCAAATAGCACACTGCCTACACTCAGTAAATGCTCACTTCTTTGCCTTCCCTGACAAGACTGGCCCCAGCTACAGTGGTTACCCTGTTAACCAAACGTGCTGCTCTCCCAAGAGCCTGTAAGTGCCTTGTGTGGGTGTTGTGGGGTGCACTGTATGCTCTGGAGAACGTGCTGGAAGGGCAGAGCAGTGTAAATATTAGTTGGGCTAAATGAAGGGTAAAGGCTTGTTAGCCTAAGCAAGTCATGACGCCACCCTAACAACCGTCTTTCGTGAAAACACAGAGAGACTCTGGTCCCCAGGAGTCAATGCAAAAATCCCCAACTAGTTAATTACTAGGAAAACAAGGTACTCTGTTACAACTAAGAAATGATTATCGTTCACAACCACAGTGCAGGATGATCCCATTTCCTGAAACTGCCACTGTTTTCTCTTGCCCAGCTTTGAGCCCAGGCCTGGTGGTTGGCCAGGATTTGTGTTCTATGTAAACTAGAGTCATAGAACATAAAATATGGTAATGACATCCATCCTTCATCTCTGTATTCTAGCACAGTGGTGAGCATTTTTTAAACATTTATTTTTAGAGAGAGAGAGAGAGCAGGGGGAGGGGCAGCGGGAGAGGGAGAAGCGGACTCCCTGCCGCGTGGGGAGCCCGACGTGGGGCTCGATCCCAGGACCCTGAGATCGTGACCTGAGCCGAAACCAAGAGTCAGAGGCTTAAGTGACTGAGCCACCCAGGTGCCCCGTGGTGAGCATAAGGGTTTACCTTAACCTATTTCCCAATTCATGCCTATCATTTCTATCATATCAGTTGATCCTAAAAACCCTCCTTAAATTAAACCAGATTTACTTTTTTTTTTTTTTTTACTAATTCAGTAAGTCTCCACAAATTTAAGAGAAGTGAAGCTATCACCTTAAGCAAGCCAATTCCCAGGCAAACTTCCTTGGTGAGGGTGGGGAGGAGAGGAAAGATTATTTTAAGACCTTAGGACATGAAGCCACTTGCCAGCATGACACCACAGGTGCAAATCTTAGTGCCGAGGCCATGGCATTTGGGAAGCAGATAGAAGAGTTTATAAGAGATGAGTGGATTATGACAGCAACAAAAAGCAAGCCTATAAAAATAACATCAATTGGACAACTCAGTATTACACAAGATTAGCTACATCATTTATAAAGGGTTTCAGACAATAAATTATGCATAGGGGGAGAGAAGTGATCCAAGAAACCAAATTCCTGGTTGCTCCCGGAGGAAAATTCAAAGATAATTTTGTTCATAATATAAATTAAAAATAGAAATGTGCTGAGGTTAAACAGGACAGAAGAAAATGAATTAAATTTCATATACGTATCTTCTGATCTTGTTTAGAATACAATATAATGTCAGAAAATGACAAAAGAATAAAATAAAATCTTCTCTTGGCTAGTCCCAGATTTCCCATGTAATGATGACACGTGTGGTCATCCTGATGCTGCCCCTGTGATTCAGGGTCATGTCACTTCTCTGAGGTGGCCTCCAGCCTCTACTCTCTGGCCTCTGCCTGCCCATGGAGGGAAAACAAAACACGTGAGCCCGGCCATCCCCCTCCACCGCACGGGCCCTAAGTTGGCCTAGGAGGCCCGCCATGCCCTTCCTGCTTACATCTTTCTGTGTAAGTTCCGATAAACCTGAGCCACTGGCCCGTCTCCACTCCAAAGAGGCACGCAGCCTCCTGCTGTGCTATTTTTATCCCAAGAGCCTTTGCTCAAGCTGTTGCTTCTGCCTGGAATACTCTCTTTTTCTCCTTGCACACCCAATTTTTCTGCTCCCCAGCTACTATCTGTCTTTTAAGACTCCCTTCCAATCAGGCTGCTGGGGGAGCTGCCCCTTCGCTGTGTCCCCCGGCAAAGCACTCTGTGCATAGCTCTGTCCTGGCATCCAGAGGGCTTGATTGATATGAGGGCTCTTTTCAAGCACATTTCTCCCCACCACCTGCAGGAGCCAGGCTTGTCCATCCTTGCGTCTATCCCCGGGGGCGCTCCACACACTGAGCGTGAAGGGAGGACGGCTGGATGAACAGAGAGCAGACCCACATGGTAGATCTGAGAAGGCACAGAAAAAATAACATGCACCCTAATAATATGAGTTGGGCTATAGCATGATTGGTGTTTGGTTACTGTCCTCTTTCCAGGCCACCCAGCACCATTCTCAGAGAAAATCCTGAGGGGGTGTGTGTGTACATGCACGTGTGTCCGTGTGTGTGTGCACATGTGTGCGTGAGAATACGTGACTGCCTCAGGATCACTTGGGGACTTTCTCACTTCAGTGTGAGGTCAGTTGTGCACAGTGGGCGTTTCACAATCTTTAATTTTATGACGATACCACCTACTGATAAAACGCCATTTTCAGCGAACGTCACAATAACCTGACACCAGAGTTTACCAAATTGAATTTTTAGACAGCATTTACTGTGGCGAAGTTTTGCTGTGTGTTTTCATTTGTTTATATAAGTTATCCATAGGTCACACGAAAAAATTAAAAAACGAAAAACCAGAATGGGTATAACTGGTTACATGGTTTGGGTCAAGGAGGAAATATGGACCAAAACAATAGAATATTCTGAAATTTGTATAAACATATAAGCACTTAAGAGATGCTGGGAAGTGTACATGGAGGCATCAGCTTTACTCTGGGTCTGGCCCTTCAGAGAGAAGCCTAGCAGCTTCTGCCTTTACCTCCTTGGGAACCTGGCTCCATGCTCTAAAGGAGCCAGGGCTTGACTACCCAGTGACGAGAGGCATCCCCTAGGGGGCTAGAGACACAGAACTGAGCGCTTTGTGTGTTTTAAATTCCGAGCACCATCAAACTTGTCTTCCAAAACGGATGGAGCAATTTACATTTGCAACAGTTTTGCAAGGAAGTACCTGTCTTCCTCACCTTCATCAGTAATTAACACTGTCAATCTTTCACATTTTGGCCATCTTGATGGGCAAAAAAATGGGCATCTAACTTCAATTTGTGTTTCTTAAGATGGGCCCAATCTGTGGAAAACAAGTTTCTTATTTGAATTTGCATCTTCCTGATTCATATGTTTACCAGGCATTCCTATTTTTCTTATGTAAACTGTTTGTACCCTTTGTCCATTTTCCTGTTATATTTTTTATCTTTTTCCAATTGATTCATAGGTACTGTTCTTATCACCCCTACACCATGTCATTTTCTATGTTGCAGAGACTTTCTCCCAGTTTATCGTATATTTTAATTTTATATTATATAACTTTCATATTTTGTGGTTAAATTTGTTAGTTTTTTTTTCAAGATTTTTTTTTTAAAGTAATCTCTCTACCCAGTAAGGCGCTCAAACTCACGACCCTGAGATCAAGTCACATGCTCCTCCAACTGAACCAGGCTGGTGCCCCAAATTTGTTAGGTTTTTCTGTTAAAACCTTTGTGTTTTACATTTTGTTTTAAAAAGAGCTATTCTAGCACCCTTTTTAAATATATTCCCCAGTATTTCCTTCTATTCTGCTATAGTTTTAAAAAAATGTATTACCCTTAAATCTGCTTATTTTTGTAAATGATGCAAAGTAAAGATAGTTCATTTTTTCCTGACAGTTAGCTAATTAACTATACCATAAATGGTTCATCCTTTCCCTACTGATTTTAACTGTCATCTTTAATATATACCAAGTTCCCAATTAAACATTTAGATATTTTTCTATATTTTCTTTTCTGATTCATTGATCTATTTGTCTATTCTTGTGCCAGTATGACTCTGGCTTAATTAATACAACTTTATGGACTATTTCGAGTATTGACAGTACAGGCCTGTACTTTTCCTTTTCAAAATTTTTTTGGCAGATTTTCGGCATTTTATTTTCCAGATGAATTACAGGATTAGCTTGTTCCATGAAAATTTCAGGATTTCTAATTGTTAACACACCAAACTTATATATTACCTTGGGGAAAATTGACATCTTTACAGTTTTTACTTGTCCCATTAAAAGACATGCTGTATCTCTCTATTATTCAGGCATTTATGTCCTACAGTAAAACTTTATAGCTTGCTTCACATTGCAATACTGTTTTTACTATACTAATTTGCATGCATTTCTACATTTTTTAAAAAAGCTATTCTTAGAGTTAGCATCTGGGCATGTTTTACTCCTAGCTCCCTGAAAGCAGAGGCGATGTCTTCTGTACTAACACATATGCTAGTCTGTCCAATGTTGTGCTGTGGCCAGTGATTAATAAATGCTTATTATAAATAAACGAATGTTACTAAGAAAGAAGCTAGACCACAACAAAATCTAGAGGCCGGCATGTCCTGATCTTCTGAACCTATCTGTAGGCAACACCTGGCTATACTAACAGAATTGCCCAATGGGAAAGCCCACAAGGGAAAATCAGGAACCCCCCCTCCCACCCATGTCCCTCCATATACACACACACACTGCGTTCGGGCAGATGGAGTTCACATCAGCAAGGACAGATGGTTGCTGGGCTGTTTACAAAAGAGCTGGAAAAAAAAAAGTTGACTACTGCTTATCTTTGCCCTCAATCTGTGAGTGACCAATCAATTCTTTCCTATGGGACCTGGGTTCTTTGGTTGACATCAAACTACTTTATAGCAATCAGATCCAGACTTAGCTGT